TTCGCCGATTCAATAAAGTGGTCTTAAGGCTACGAAAACGACGACGTCCAACAAAGAATGTAGTCCAGTTTGGAAAAAAACCAGGCAAATACTAGACCCGTCTCTCAGACTATAAAAATGTTTTCAATAAAATTTCCTTTTGAATATGCAACATAACTGCATTTTGCCTTATTGCAAAGAAATAATCAGGTGCTAAAAACTTTTATTTTCGGTGAATCAATTGGTTAGGGGTCAGGTTTCAGCTTTCGCTAGATCTTCCGGGCACTATCTTTTCATCCTATAAGGATTATGGAAACTTGACAAACCTATAATAAGCGAACTAAGGCCTACAGGAGCATAAAACCAAAAGATCATTAGATCATTAGATTACGGTCCAAATTAGTCCGTCCTGAAGACAAAAATTATGTCCGATCGTTTTCAGCTTAAAATTTGTGTTGATGTTTTCAACTTCTTCATTAATATTTAAAGTTACAGTGGTATTTTTATTTATTCGTTCTTCTTAAGCTGCGTACGATTTCATTAAATCTTAATATACAAGTTTAACTAAAGATATGCTATAAAATATTGCGATGAAACGCGCTATGAGCAAGCTTTTGTCTCGTATCATATAATGCAGACTTATTACGATCCACTCAAAGCGATTCTCTCCTGTCTGTAGGGAACCCCAAAGTAATCTAAAGAGGTTGACGATTCCTATATGTGTGAACAAATCAGAGGAAATTACAGAAAAAATGCAAATAAGGTTGGTCGAAATATTTTGGCTATACTAGGGTCTATCTGGATCATGGTTCAGTGTGAGTGCTTTTGGGTTTTAGAAGTAATAGTTACAAATTTTCGCAGTAAATCCATGTTGATCTCCTTTGCTATATGTATATTCTCTAAATATTTTTCTGTAGGTGTTCTTCGACTATGGACGAGTATTCAGCAGTCAGTTGGACTCGATTTCGCACCATGCCATGATCATCCGACGAGTCCGTCTGATAATCCCGGAACAGCTAACTCTGATGCAGAAGCAACGGCTGGCCAATTGGCCCAGACTCAGGCGATAGCTAGGCGTTTACGTTTAACAAAATCGAACGGATGAGAAGGCGGCAGCGTGGACAGAATTTAAGGCGCAGGAATCGGGCACGACAACAAGGTGCCCAAAGACGCCGAGAACATCAATAGAAACCGCAGGCTTGCGCGTGCTTGAATTGGAAAGAATCTAGATGATGACAACGGCAACCGACGACTTTGTTTTACTAACCGAATACAATTTTCAAATAAATTCCAATAACCCAGCACGCCCCTGATATGTGTTTGAGCAGCTGCTTGCGGCTCTATGAGCTTTCGATATTACAAACCTTCAGCAATCAATTGGATCAGGGTCACGCTGCAAGCACAATTTGTCACATGCAATGCTTTCCCAATCTCGATTCGAGAGACTAAAACAGTTAGCGTGCTGGCGCAGCTGGGCGTATGCTTAATATTATGGCAGTGCAATATCAATAGACACATGAACACATGGACATGGCACCGACTGCATAGACCCGTTAACTGTAAGTAATTCATATCCTACGAGATGGTTGTTGCTGCACAAAGAGTTTTACTTGAGTTGCAGCTGAATTAAATATCAAATGTTGCTGCAGTTGTGGCTAACGAATTTATGGCAACACCAGCTTAAGCTGCAGCCAGTTGGGTGTGTACATATGTATGTATTAGCTCGGAGATTCCAAGAAGTATGCTATGTATTTAAGAGACACCCACCTGCAGCACGGTGGGCGAGGCCATCCATTGCTGAAACAAATCCGATGTGACCGAGGGCCGCTTGTGCGGCTTGCGGCTCTCAATGAACTCGTGCAGGCGACTCAGCGCCTCGGGCGGCGCACGTTCCGTTAGCCATTTCTCAAAGGCCTCGGGCTTCTCCTCGAACAGGCGAGCCACCTCGTCCACATCTTGCTGTGTGGCCGTCGCCTTGCCACTGCTACCAATGTTGCTCGCGCTGCCGCTGTTGCTGTTGCTGCTGCTGCTGCTGCTGTTGGTTTTGGCATTTGTTGATGGAATTGAGGCAGCCGCAGGTGCACACAATTCACTCTCGCTGGATTGCTTTGAGGGAGCTGTTTCCACATGCTGATTGTTGTTGCTTTGCGAGTGACGTTCGGACTTTGACTGTTTGCTTATGGCTGTAGTTGCCGCCGTTGTTGTTGTTGTTGTTGTTGTTGCTGTCGCTGGCGCTGCTTCTGTTGCTGCTGCTTCAGCTGTTGCTGCTGTCAGTGGTTGCTTTGCGGCGCCATTGGTTAGCGCTTGAGATGTTGCCTCTCCAGCCACCTCGCTGCTTGTGGTGCTGGCTCGATCGCCGGCCCTGCCCGCGGTAGCTGACACATCGGTCATGATTGTTAGTTATCGTGTCAACGGCAGCAGCGGCAATGGTTGCGAAGTCGCTTGCATACATTCATTACACCTGATGCCCTCACATCAGGTGAATCGGGCCAAGCCTAGCCCCACTGAGTGGGCGATGCTCTTCACTCAAACGCTCGACTGCGGCTCCAGCTGCGTGGGCTGACAAAGTCACGTAGCTGCCCACTTATGTGGCTGAGAGGGCTGCTTGAGGCTGGTTGAGCTCCTTGACGACCTGTTGCCGTCGCCTGTTGCCTATTGTTGCCTCCGCTGCTGGCTACACGACCGTAATGGGACCGCGCCGGGAAGGGGTAATTGATGACGAGACCAGCTCAAACTGTGCCCGGCAAATGGCTTTGTGTCATCTTCAGCCCTTGTGGCTGTGCTCGTTACATTAGCCTCTAGATCTCGGCTCATGCACGTTCGCCTCAGTCCCGGGAAGCGTCGCCTCTGTCCTTCTATTGACGGCTTTAAATATTGACGCACAAATAGGCCTCGGCAGCCATTTAACAGTTCACTTCTCTGTTTGATTTGCGACCACGTGCTGTCAACTTGATTTCACTTGAGCTGCAAGAGATTGAACAAAAAGTTAGTATCTCATGGTTGATTACTCAGTTAGTCGAAGGGGAGCATTTGGCAAGCACCTACTAAGATGAATAAGCCATAAAAAGGGAAATATTTTGGATTTTATTTTTATATATATATATATTATTTTAATAGTTCTATATTCTATTTCTATTCTCTGTTTACTTTTGCTCGAAAAATTGCACTTTCCTTTATCTTAGCCTGCATTTGTGTTTGGCATTCAAATTCAATCACAATCTTTATTTTCCCCATGCGAGCTATTCACTTTTCCAAGTTATAAAACTTCATCAGGAGCCATTCCAATCGATATATGCCATCAACTATGGCTTCCATTGAAACAATAAAGTAGCGAAAGCCAACCTCCTCAAAGCCAAATGAGCAGAGAATTATTTCAGATTTTCTCAGATTAGATTGTTAGATTGTTATTTTCAAGTGCAAAGAGTGGCTCAAGCCAGTCCCTTTTCCTGGTAATATGTATTACTGGCATTCCAGCCGCATTCATGTGGCCAATCAATTATTTGAATGCCATTTCGCCTGGCAATTCTCAAAATGTCAATTGCTTTTGCGCTAGCGAAATGAATTTTAAATGAATGGCGAGAATCTGGAAGACATATGCATGCATGTATGCGAAATGGGATTTATTTGCTTTGCGTGTAATAAATTTGTTTATTCTATCGCCCAACTCGAGATGCAAATACATTTAAATGCTTCATTGGAGCACGCCAAATTTATGACCACAAGGTGCACTTTAGGCCAAACAGAGACTGAGAGAAGAGAGAGAGAGTGAGAGAGAGAGAGAAAGAGACGCCAACAAATCGAGCTTTGCTTTTACCAATGTCATATGCAAATTTTGGGCGAGAGGTGATGGGGCACGGTGGGGCACGGTGGGGACTAGCGAATTGCCACTTGAAGCGCGGCAACATTTCACAGCCGGCAAAGAAGCAAACAAAATATGACAAAAAAATAAAAATAATAAAAAAGAGAGGAAAAATACATTTAAATGAAATCGAGGAAAAACGCTTCCGGTAAGGGCTATGGCAGGGCAGGAGCAGGAGCAGGAGCAGGAGCAGGGACAGGAGCTGGGGCAGGGGCAATGTGGCACAGGGGACTCCAATGCACATTTGCATTAAAATGGCTTCTGGCATTTGCATAGAACGGCTCGCGGCATTTGCCACGTGCACAACTTCTATGCGCTGCAAACTTGCCACATCGCCTTGACTTTATGTTTAACTAAGGTTTTTGGGGCTGGCAGCCGCTGCCATTTAATCGAGCTGCCAGCTGCCTTATGCATTTCCATTTGCTGCTGAACATTTTCACCTTTTGCCATGAAAAACTAGATTGGCTTTCCGACTATGTGGCAGCCATTGTTTGTATGTTGCACACTCGCCTCCGTTTTCCTATTCTGTTTGCACACGACCCTCCCATTCCCTCCCACTCCGCCGCCCACCCCATTCGCCTCGGCCAAGCGATTGACTCGCTTTTTACCCTGCATTCTGCTCTCTTTGCTCTGCTTTCCGCTTGTCATAAACAATGCTGTTTTGAATAAAACACAATGGCAAACAAAAGGATGGCTAGCTGCTACCCTAACTATTGTTGACCAGCTCAGATCTTCATTCTCTGGCATATTCTAATCGTCGCCCGGTACAGGGTATATGCAAACAACAATGACTAAGTCGACAGCAACTACCTCGAGCTTTATCACGCACTCGTTTGCAATTTCAAATTGGGTAATAAATTCTTGAACTCTGCTCTATAAGGACAACTCTCCACCTCCCTCTCTCTCTCTCTCTCTCACTCACTCTGTCTGTGTCCTTCTCTGTATGCATCACTTTGCCATTCATGAGCGTGTGAAATTGCTTTGTTCTCGCCAACGTTTTATGGGCGGCCATGTTACTGTTTGTGGCTGGGGCGTGGCAGCAGCCATGTCGCCCATACACCCGCTTTGGAGCCAGTGTACTTCTCAGATTTAATGTCAACACTAAAGATTAAGATTTTAATGCGCTTTGCGGCTAACAAATTTCCTTTTTATGTCCCGTAAGCATTGCGGCGTCTGCAGCAGCAGGTTGACCACAAAATAAAAAGTAGCGATTAAACTGGCAGCCAAAGTCCATTCAGATGCAAAGTGTTCGCTTATGTTGTGATCATGATGCTGATAATCAATTAAATCTCAATGTTCAATCAATGTATCCATCCAAGGCGTCGTCCTGCTGCTACCCAGGACACACAGGACACATCCCAACTGACTGGAGCTGTTCATGCAATGCAAATGTGTGACGAGTCGCCCCCCCCCCCCCCCCCCCCCCCCCCTTGCTAGCCACTATGCTGTGCTGTGCGCTATCAGTCAACAAAGCATCGCAGTAAATTTGCATAGCTTAGACGCGGATGCTCAGCTGGGCAGAGGGGCAGCGGGGCAGCGGGGCAGAGGGGCCAACGTGTGCCGCAATTAGTTTGCCACAAATATGGGCTAAATTATGCGAACATAACAGCTACAAACACGCAAACACACACACACACACAAAGCCAGTTCATGAAAGTTTGACCGGAAATGAGCAGCGGCCGCGGCTAAGCTCGACAAATAAACGAAACGAAAGTAAATAAACTGAACAAAGCCAAACAAATCAATGCATACACACACATACACCCACACAGAGACAAAGGCACACATGTACACACACATACATACGTGCAGTGTGTTAAATAGGTGCAAATGCAAATGAAGCTCTTAAATATTTACTAACAATTCACATTTCAAAGGCAAATTGCAGCAAGGCACACACACACACACACACACACACACATACACATACATATATACAAAGTAGCGAGCTGGCTCATATTTCCGTTAATTAAAATATATATGTGTGCGTGTTTCCTTTTTTTTTTGATGCTGCAGTTATTTTTAATTAAAATGCGGCGCAAACATGTTCGCTGCCACGACGCAGCATTAGTTGCAACTGCAGCTGCAGCTGCAACATGCAAATGAAGCTCAACAGCCGCAGCATGTGTCCATAAATAGGCAATGCGAAAATGGGCGGGACGGGGCGGGGCGTGACGTACCTGGCTGGCCTGAAGCGCACTCACCTTTGTTGTTGTGCATGCGCCAGGTGGGAGTGGGGTCCGTTTGAAATTAGAGAATTAGTGACCGCATTGTTGCAAGGGCGGATGCGGATGCGGATGCGAATGCGAATGCGGATACGGCCATTACTGCATACGCGTTAGCGTAAATTAACTTGGCGGCTACTTTGTAGTCGAGCGGGCGCTTGCATTTTCGTGTTTTCAATTTGGCAAATTGCAACATTGCATTTTGGCCTCGGCCATCAACGTCGCTTAGTGCTCAGGCGCTGCTTTGTGGCATTGGCAGCACAATCACGTAGCTGCCACACACACGCACTTTCTCTCTCTCTCCCTCTCTCTCTCTCTCTCAGCTAACAGAGCTGCCTACGGCTGTCTTTTTGACTTGAAAGCAGCAAATGCGTCCAGGGAGAGTCAACGCGCTGCGGCATGCGCAACAATGGTGTTGACATGCAACACTCAGCGTCGCAGCCGCTGACTGACTGACTCTGACTCTGCTCCGCTCGTCTTGGGCTTGCCACCGCCCGTTCCGGCTGGGGCAATTTTCGTATGCGCTCTGGCCACGACTCCGGCAATCCGAATTTTGCATTCGCCCAACACACACGTACGCGTGCTGGCTGTAAGCTGCTCGGCTCTGCTCTCGACTACAATACTTGTTGCATAATAATTACACAAATCCGCTGTGACACGCGCTGCATGCGACAGAGATTAGTTTAAAGTGTCAGCTGAGCTCAAACGAAATTGGATTCCCAAAGAGAAGTTCTAACTAGATTAGAAAGCACTTGATGCGGTTCTTTCCAATAACTTTCATTCGAGTCCACTACACGGCACTTATAGAGTTGTTTACCTAAGTGAACTAACTTGAATGACTGTGTCTATTCAAGTGCCCATATACTCATGAACTTCTTGTAGCTATTCACGAACTAGTTCCGCTAGTTCCAATGCGAGAAATTCGATTAAAATCATAGCATACTTTTGTGCGTCGATAAAGTTTTTTTAATTTAAGGGCAATATCGTAAGTGATTAGAAATTATATCGTAAATAGTGTTTACCAAAAATCTATTTGACTCTTTTTACACTCGCTAGCAAAGCAACTAGGGGCATATTAGTTTGCAAAACTCACAGACTTGAAGTTTGGAATATGAATTAGATTTATTTCATTCGCTTCCCAAAGTTCAATCTTTAATCTTTACAACAGAAAATTCTCATTCTGATGGCATAAAATTCTATAAACAAGCTTCAAGGGTCAGATGTGTCCTTGAAACTACAAATATCTATATATATCGATAGTATATCGATATGCCCGTATTTGCAGCAAATAAGAATATCACTCTACGCCTAACTATTTTACTGCAATGCCAAAGCATAGCACAGTCGCTGAGACTGGATTCATTTCGTGTTTTTTTTTTTTTTACGATTTCATATTGTTTGCATCTGTTTAGCATATTTGAATAAATGCAGCCATTTCTGTTGATTCCATCAACACGAATTGAGCGTGAATTAAACACATAAATATAATTGTTTGCATTTGCGGTTTTAATTAAATTCATTGAAATTTATTTAATGCATGCTTGCAATTGACAATGGACTAACTAAACACAACATCGAATGGAAATCCAATTAAGAGTCGGCAATTAAAGTAGTTTTCAGTTATCACAGGAGATCTCTACTCAATTATGGTCTTAATTAAACCACAGCAAAGCGTGATAGAGTCCGAGTGGCATCAATAATAAATTAATAATAATTCGAGTGCCAGCTGCAGCTTAGCTGGAACTGAAATTCAATTAGGCCAATGCGAGAGTCTTTGAGCGGATGAAACTCAAGTAGAGCTTATGTAGATGCCATTAACATTTTGCTATGCATTATTTTGCAGTTAGCCCAGGGCATGAGGCAGCAGCGCTGTGGTGGGG